GTAGACATTTGAAGATGTCTTCGTCTCCGACTGGGACCAACTCGCGCCCCTCCTCTATTCGTATCAAAACGCCTCCGCGTCGCTACCGCGAATTCCGGAGAAATTGAGGTTCCATCTCCTCATAATATTATAAACGTCGGTAGCGGAGTTATGAGGGCGGCGCGGAGTCCCCTGGTCGGCTAGAGCCGGTGTTTCTAAGCGTGACATAGTCGGAAGGGAGAGTAGGTTATCTTTTACCTCGGCAGCCTCCTCGGCCTCGTCCCCGGATGATCCCGTAGGGTCCGGCGTTCGCACGGGTTCGCGTCCGACTCGTATCGCCTCCTCATAGCGAAGTAAACGTTCGCGAAGAGTGGGCACTATGCCCTTATCCGACAGACCCCTGTCCTTAAGCTGTTGCTTAAGTAAGTCGAGTGGAAGCGCGTTGATCCAACTAAAGGATGCATTGGCTTCCGACATTGTGACGGTAAATTCTCACACGGAACTATAGAAAAAAATGGTCTCTTTAAAGTCCGTCTCGGACCGCGACAATCACCAATGAACGCGACGGTACTCACGGTACGAGGAAGGCAGAAGTAGGCAAAACGCAAAAAAATCCTCACAAACGCAAGAGAGATTCCCGCAAAAGCAAAAAAAGATTCTCCCAAAATTACGAAAAGGTCCCCTCAGACGAAAAGTCTCACAAGTAGAAGAAAAATTTCCTCTCACTAAGCAAACGATTCCTACGCGAAGAAAAAAAAAAAAGATCTGGCACAGTATAAGAGTTTATTTGCCTTTATTAAGGTAACCACTATCCAGACTCTTCACGAAGGCCAAACAATATAAGAATGAAACGGTCAACACGCGCTCTAATGTACTCAATTACTATTTACTCATAAGCGTGTTATTGTATTACGAACTTCCCGAAGATTTACTTTGAGGTTTATACGCGGCTACTAAGAAGTCATCAAGGTCTCGCACGGAATATCGGCTCTTAATTAGCGCGATTATTACTGGCGAATCCTCCCACTCATCTATTCACTGCGAAAAACACGCAGAACGTTGTCGATAGGGAGAATATGCGCGAAATCACCAAAAAAACTACACCAAAAGTTCCCCCTTATCGGTTCGACGTACTTCGGTAAAGATCGCAACACGTTACTCGTATTCTCTTTTAAATGATCATAACACGAACGAACTTAGATTCGGCGTCGTCTTATTATGAACGGACTTTATTCATCCGCGCGCGATGTTTACTTCCGCGCGCCGCTACACACGCACAACACAATAGCGCGGCAGAAAAACAGCTGTGTGGAATTCCGACGCGAGCGGCTACACCGCGCGACGCGCTATACACACGGTAGCACCAAAATTCACGATTCCCTCGGGATCGCGCTCATTCACTAAGGGTCGGTGGAAATGCGTTAATTTCGGACCGCTGTATACGTTATCTTAATTTTCTTTCCCACCCACAATACTCAAATAAATCAATTAGAAAAAAAAAGTAAATAAAAATAAAAAAATATATGTCCTGAAAGAAACGGATTACACAAAATAGCGACATACAGCAATATACATATAATACAAATATCCACATATAATCATTGATATTCAATATTATTCTTTATTTCAACTCATTTTCTGTCTCTCTCTCTCCAAAATCTCGACAGTATCTTTAAATTTATTACGACTTCTTAATCTCGGGCCCCACGTTGGGCGCCAAAAATTTGCGACGACTTTTCCGTCGGGCAGAAGTACACCCGCCGGTAAGCGTGTCAAACCTCGTTGCTCTATTTTATAGATCTTAATAATTATCGCGAAACTTATAGTTGGGCGCCAGGCGCGGATTAACGCGCCACACGAACAAATTACGTTAGAGTCAATATTTGCTTTAAAGAGCAACGGCAATAAGCGCGACTAGCCCACTCTACAAATGGCAGAGGGGCGAGGTTCTTTAGAGATGCTAACCCGGTTTGGAGAGAGGAGTCTGAAATAGACGGTTATTAAGAACACACTAATCAGTAACAAATAACATGTATTTCTAATTATAAATTAGATTAAGTGAGATTGACGCCGGGTGACGGGCGTCTTAACAATTCCGCGGAGTGGAGACATGTTTTATTTCAGTGAGAGGCGTTATGATTTCACTGTTCAACTCGCGGAAATCCGCGTACTTCCGCCTCACGCGGTATAAGATTCGGCGTACAAATTCAGTAACTTTCATTCGGTGCGGTTGTTACAATTAGCTCTACTTCAATCTTTCTCCATAACGGTTAGCCTACAATACGAACTCTATCTCAGTATTATTCTGACGGTTCTGAATGTAAACGCTCGACCGAAAGCCGAGACGAGAGATACGCGATAGGCTAACTCCAAAATTCTAACACTCGGTACAGCAATACACAAATAGACGCGAAATTATCAGTCATGAACGAGAGACATTATTAACGCAAAACGACTGTCGGCTCGGCAGCCCCGAGGGGGATAGCATGGTGAAATCTTATTCTATAGAAGCGGTAGTCAGCGGGGCCCGGCCTAAATCTAACCTCGCAACATATCGCGAGACATTTCGGTACTCTTAATACACTTTCACGAAACCCAGGCGGGTTCTTATTTCCGCGAGGCTCGGGCCGCCTACTGATACCGCTCTTACCGCGAAGTCGAAGTGGTGGCCTTACAAATCGCTGGTACGCCCGTGGTAGTCCTCGAGGTTTCGCCCAGGTTGCCGACTCGCCGAACAGTGACGACCGCGAGGCTCGCCGGACAGCGGTGACCTTCCGCGCATCGTCCTGCGCATGTAGATCCGCGCTATCGATTAGCGCTACTTGATCCTTCGATATCTCTAGCGATCTCGATCCTCGCGTCGCTCCTCGATTTTTCGGCCCTCGGTGACGCTTTTCCGAGGTGACCCCGGTCTCTCTCTTTTGGCAGCTGCCGTTAACGCCCTTCGTGGCCTTCTCCGTTTCCAGATCCGAGCCTTCTTTGAATCGGTCGTGAACTGGCCAGGTTCCGACCGGATTCCTCTTTCCTGGCTCGTTACAACAGCTCCTTGTTCGGGTACTCCACCCCGGGTCTTCGGCGTGTGAGAGCGCGCTTCCCTCTCGGGCGTCATCTCTCTCGGTGCGTTCACCGGCCTCGATATGCTCCGTATCTGAAATCGTAACTGCGGTAGCGACTGTGTCTGGAATCGAATGATATTGGCAAGGGTGTTTTTACTTGCCCTTATCCTGGATCCGTCTGCACGCCGTCCGGGCCTCCGTCGTCCTGCCTGCTGAGTCCCTCGCAGGTCCCACGAAGGCTGCTCCACGGTAATTCACAATATGGGAGTTTGGCCACCCACCACGACTCGCTTAATTCGCTATAACGCAAAATCTAAAATCTCCAAAAAAAGGAATTAAGAGGGAGAGGTCGTCGCCCCCCCGCGGTGGGGTCTCCGACCTCAAATTTCCCTCCTCGATCGGGCTTTCTCGCCCTTGTGACGGACGTCAAAAAAAAGTCACGTCACAATATATATATATATGACAACGAATATGATGTTCTTCTTGGTATCGATTTCTAAAACTTTCATTAGTTCTTAATGGTGCATCCAGATTTAAAAACACCATTCGATTTAGAAAATCACCTTCTTCGGTGCACTTTCCACATCCAAAATAACCATTGAATTGCTTTGTACCTAAAACAAAACTTCGCGCAGGACTATCACAAATTATGCATCTCAATCTGACAGTGAAGTGTAATTGAGTATTTTTATTATTGTAAACAAATCCATTATTGTGTAGTTCAATATATTCTTGTATGAATGGTGATAAATATGTATCAATCAAACTTGGTTTTGTGTGTGCATTTCCATGGTAAATTCCAATAACAAAAGGTGTTTTGAAAGAAGAACCGACAATCTTTCTCAATATTGGCCACAGACTTTTTTGAGTAGATTTTGAAATTGGTAAACCGTCAATGTTTATGTCAATAATAATATTTTTCTCTATTGTTTCATCTAACTCAATAATATCGCCTAATGCCTGTTGAAGACCATAATAAAAATATTCTCCAGGTGGACATGCAATTATTTCAGTCGTGCGGGGAGTTTTTAGAAGTGACCGAGCATCGTTTGGTAATTCTGTGAATGACCTGCCTGTTGTAATATTTTTAACAATTTATTTACATAGTCACGAGGAATATTACATTCGGTGGACCATGAAGCTAAGCTAAGACCTAAATCAAAATTTGAATTACAAGGTACGGATTGTGTTAACATTCTTGATGAAGAGGCTTGTTACAAGAAAAGATTAATCTCGGAAATGACTCATATTAAAAGACAAAAATTTGGGCTTAACAAACAAAGTAATACAGAATTTAAAGTCAAATAATTATTGACTTCACTCTGGATTAACCCTCCCTTTTCTCCCCCCCTTCTTACTCCCAACCTACTCGGGACGAGTCTTCCCCCCCCCCTTTCTCTCCTCACCCTTTTCCTTCCTACCGATTAACACCTCGCACAGTCTCATTTTCGAATTTGAGATGACCGGTACTTTGATTTCTCACATAGCAGTTCTTTGCACAGCCTCATAAGTGAGTACACATTGTTAACTAGATTATTATAAATTTTATATAGGTACTTACGATATCCACAAGTCAACTTTATATTTATATTTATTTGTATAGTGTTACCGTTGACCAATTTGTACTAATGATAATTCATGTCTCACCAATGAATCCCAGCACGCGAAATTAGGAATAATTTTATATTCATTAAAATCAACAAACACTGTGTCGACTCCGTTCAACCGACATATGTAACTGTTTTTTAATTTGTCTCAATTTATGTATTATAGATTTATACTGAAGATGATCGGAAATGCCGATCAAAACGTTTAATTTCATTCCTGATTAAAGAAAGAAAAAAAATTTTTTTTGTTTGGCAATCAAGATCCTGCTGCGGCCTTTGATCCTCTCACTCCATAACTGTTAATTTTACGCTGGGCCTAAATTGATTCTATTAATTGTTTAATTTCTTGTCTTCTCCTGACTTTATCGACGTATCTCTAATTAAAACGAGATCTCCTGGTTTGTAAGCCGTAGGCTTCTTATGTTTCTTATCATATATCGATTTATTGTAACCTTTGATTTTCTCAGCTACGTCTAGCGCTAATTTATGATTTAACTCTCTCTCCTGATCAAAATCAAATTTAACCTTCGCAATCTCGTAGAGACGTTGAGTTAGGAGACTGTCAGCGTGGTTACGCTGATCAAAACCGAGCAACTTGGAAGGAGAGGCCTTAAGGGAAGAGTGAAGGGTGTTGTTTACAACATACTGGATCGTATCCAAGCAGGAACTCCAATCCTGCCTCAACGAGTTTCTTCAATAATAATTTCAAAAATTGGTTAGACCGTTCGGCCAATCCGCTTGCCCATGAAGCTGCAACGGCAACAAGACGTTGTACAACCTTTCTAGAACGGAGGAATTCAGTAAATTCCTGGCT